ATTTCCGCCAATCTGAGGAGAAAAACGTCGATATAATGAGAAACTTTCTTAATATTTTGATAAAGTTTCTCATTATTTTTAAATATAAACTAATTATAATGATATCTATATATATATATGTTTTTCTTTCACATTTAAAAATTCACAAAAGAAAATAAAACTAAAGAAAACAAACTTAAACACGCGCATGCGTACTCTGCGCAAGCTTGACGCGCACCGCGGAGCGTCCAAACAGCTAACGATGTCTCAGCTAACATACAGCAGACTGTCGCATTTACTGAGAATATCCGCCAATAAACCGTCAGCTTTACGAGCGGGGACGGAGATAAAACCCGCAGCTGTGTGTTGTGTTCAGTCCAAACGCTGCCAGGTGAGATTAATGCCTGTTTTCTGTTAGCACAACACAGCTAATGCTAACTTACCGCTCCGTGATAGCGTCAAGCTAGACAGAGAGAGAGCGCGAAACCGGAAGTTGTCTAAATAAAAGCGGCAACGGTAAAACAAAAGTACTCAATAAAGAAAATAAACACCCCAAAAAATAATTAAATGTGAACCCTTTGTGTTTTTATGTAATTATATGTTGTTAAATACACGTGTTATACATGTACTGTCGCTTTGGTGCGTATTCTTCAAAATAAGTTATATTATTTTGAATTCTACAACCGGAAGTGCTTCATGTATTCGTGTGAGCTTGATTAATACGCACTGCTGCTCAAAGACTCTAATCAACAAGCTGCTCTATAAATCTGATCAATAGGGCTTCAGTTAGCGATTATTGGCATGTTTTTGTTATTTCTAATATTTAAATAATCTAATAGCAGCTCTAGAAGCAGTTATAATGTTTCTGTCTGCAGTGTCTGAATGATTACACACATATTTTGACAATTCACCCTTTATAAAGGGGTTATAACTTGTAACCAGTGATTTAATTAATGCATAATCAATCATTTAATAAAGCTTTAATGTTCAGTTATAAGTTATGGTGGTAATAATGAATGAATAAAGGGGTTTCTCACTTTTTAATAAGCTGTCAGTGGTTGGTAAATGAGTTTTCCAACCTGCCAAAGACCTTTAAGGGATCTATAAATAACTAGTAAATGACTGAAATAACCCTTCCTTGCTACGGTTTTAGGCGGCTGTGATTGGCTGCCAATAAACCAGATCATCCCTCTGATTGGACAAAAACAACTCTTACATTTCTGACCAAACTTAATGTTAAATTTAGTCGATTTAACGTTTCCCTTCTCAACAACAACAACGCAGTGCTAGTACAAGATATGTGTGGATGTTTCCTGAAATGTTTGGGACTACAGGTAAATTCAGCATGAACCTGATCCATCAGGCAGCATTGTTTTATTAAAATGAACATTTGGATAAAGCATAAAGTGATTAAAGCCTTTTCTGTTCATTTCAAAATGTCTTTTATGGGAACATTTTTAAGTTCTTGGTCACTTATTTCCACTAAACCCCCCAGTGTCTTCCAGTCTTCCTCGCCTTCAGGTTGCGTTCACTGAGCGTCTCTCTTGTGTCTCGCAGAGGTCGGTGGACAGCAAGGCGTTACAGGAGCGGCAGAAGCAGCAAATGGCGAAAGGTCTTCCCAAACAGAAGCCCATCGCAGGGGTCAAACAGGTCATCGTCGTGGCTTCGGGGAAAGGTGGCGTGGGAAAGTCCACCACCGCAGGTGCAGCACGAGGTTCCTCATGGAGCATTCTTAGAGTTTCTTTATTCTTACAGCACACACATCCAAAGCTTCAGGAGTCTGTAAGTCTCTTTAATGTCGGTCTTTCTGTCTCTGCAGTGAATTTGGCTCTCGGATTGATGGCCAACGATTCGGTGAGGAGGCTCTTTTACATTTACATCATTTATTTAAAACCAAACAGGCCGTTTTGGCCTTTTAAAACGTAATTCTTTTTATATTTTCTCCCCAGTCAGGTCATTTCTTTCAGGTAAATGTTTGGACGTGTTTGATCAGACTGCAGCCTGTTCACCTGCTTATGGCTGCAGATAGGTTCAGAATACAGTTATGTTATTTGTTTGTAGTTTTGCAGGGAGAGTGCAGAATTAAAAGCAATTACAAAAACTGCTAATTTGCATCTGTAGACAAAAAACAGACTACAGTAAGTAAATACATAAAAGTCCATCAGTGTGAGACAATAAATAGAATCAGTGAGATAATTATTACAGTGAGGTAAGAGCTTGAAGCTGAATAAAGGAGACTTATAATCACCTTTTCCTGTCTGTAGTGTTTGTAAGAGTCAGTTATTTCATCCACTTTGTTTCTGTCTCAGTCGAAGTCCGTGGGTCTGTTGGACGCTGACGTCTACGGTCCGTCTATTCCCAAACTGATGAACCTGAAGGGAAACCCGGAGCTCTCTGACAGTACGGCACGTTCTTCCTCTCTACATCGATCAGTGATTATTGGTTGTAAATGTTGTGTTTAATGGTTCTGGGTTAATATTTAGAGTTCAGCTGTTTTATCTTTTTCTTCCAGACAACCTGATGGTTCCACTCACCAACTACGGGATCCCTTGGTGAGTTCTTACAATCAAAGCATCACATCTGTCCTCTAACCCTGCTCTGACCCCTGACCTCTTCTTAACCGCGCCCCCTCCTTTCTGTCAGCATGTCGATGGGCTTCCTGGTGGAGGACGTCGCTCCCATCGTGTGGAGGGGGCTGATGGTGATGTCAGCGATAGAGAAACTGCTCAGACAGGTGAGACCGCCGCTCCACCTGAGGTCAGACAGCGACGTTCAACTGAATCTATACAGACCAGTGTGTGTGTGTGTGTGTTGTGTGTGTGGTTGTGTTTGTGTGTGGTGTGTGTGTGTGTGTGCGGTGTGTTGTGTGTGGTAGGTGGACTGGGTCGTTGGGATTATGCTGGTAGCTCGATAATGCCTACTGGGACAGGAGACCGCTCAACTGTCAAATTACCGAACTCCCAATGCAGGTCGTCGCCACACAGGACACACACACACAGAACACACTTTCATAATAATATTATTAATAATCATGATAAATTCCACCTGAAACTTCCCACTGAAGCTATAAACTTTTGATTCTATATAATATTTCCACTTTTTATCTTAGCGCTCTCTCAAGCCACCAGGCTAGACTGGAGTTGCTGGTCGGTTAACGTAACATAGTTAACGTTAGAACTTAGTTCAGCCGTGTTGAACTTCCAGTGACCAGTATGAGGAGACTGGTGGAGAGCCGATAACACCAATTTACACCCTGCTCCCATTCACACCTGAGACCTTGTAACACTAACGAGTCACATGACACCGGGGAGGGAAAATGGCTAATTGGGCCCAATTTGGACATTTTCACTTAGGGGTGTACTCTAAATGTAAATTTACACTGTTACACAATCTGTACACTGACGACTTCATATTGTGTTAAAGTGTCATTTCTTCATCGTTGTCCCATGAAAAGATATGATGAAATGTTTGCAGAAATGTGAGTAGCACATAGCATATCTGGGTACAGGAAAGGAGCTGAACTGTTATTGGATCACAGAGCTGTCTATATATAGAACCTCTCAGAACAAAGTTACAAAGTGCTTTACAGTAAAAACAAATAATAATTTAAAACAAATACCATCAGTTAAATAAAAGACGTGACAAAAGTGAGTTGTAATTTGAAGGAGTTTCTGTGTTTTGTTGCGCAGGCGCGGTCATCGTGTCGACGCCGCAGGACATCGCCCTGCTGGACGCTCGCAGAGGAGCCGAGATGTTCAAGAAGGTCCACGTGCCGGTAATCGCAGCCACGGTTGTAAAATCTCAACGATCTGATGAAGGGCGAGAGGGTACAAACGTTTGGTGTCTCTGCAGGTTCTCGGTCTGGTGCAGAACATGAGCGTCTTCCAGTGTCCCAACTGTCAACACCAGACTCACATCTTCGGCTCCGACGGGGCCCGACAGCTCGCAGACACTCTGGGAGTCCGGTTGTTAGGTAGGTGTGAGGAGGAGGAGGAGGAGGAGGAGGAAGTACATCAGCCGCTCATTTAAAGGGACGGACAGACAGTTTGAGCGGAGCGTGGGAGTTCGGTACAGACTCTACTGTCGGAGCAGATCTCTTCATACACTGTCAGACCGGTAGAACGACAGGAGAGAGTAGTTTTAGTTATTAAAGTTATTTTATCTGCAGTGTGGGATCACGTTAGAATGACACAGCAGCAAAAAGTGTTTAAATAACTCAGAGCTCAGTGATCCTGCTGACATTGATAAAACATCAAATGAATGTCTGTGTGAAAATAAACACCAGGGAGACAAATTATATAAAAAACTAAGATTAAAACCTAAAGGCTCCAACCTTCCTCCAAAGTAAAAGCCTGATTAAAAAGACTTAATTTCCTTTTAATAATACTGATTTAATAATATAATAATACACCATTCTGATATCCAGAGGCAGTGAGATCACATGTTACATCAGCACCCCCCCGTCCTCTTCCAGTCCCTCCAGAGCTGTACTTGTGATGGCTCTCATTAATAAAATAAAATAAAATAATACAACTTCAGCATTTAACCATAATGCTTTGGTCTGTGAACTACCTTCCAACATATATCACACATTCTAGGTCCTACATAAGAACTGGAGACTGTCTGAAACTGTTGGAGTCTCCTGATTCCAGTGTGAAGGTTGCGTAGTGTGAACAGAGAGTCTCTCTGACAGTCTCCTGTCTCACAGCCGGTTTACATTCTGCTTGAACTCACTCGTTTTTTGATCATTTTGATGGATTCCTCCTTTCCTGTCATATTTGATCTTCCTCCAGGTGACGTTCCTCTTCATCTGAACATCAGAGAGATGTCAGACAGAGGACAGCCAGTGGTCGTCTCCTCTCCCGACAGCCCAGAGGTCACCGCTCTACTTTTTCCACTTTATTCTACTTTATTCTTCTTCTATTGCAGATAGCTTCGTTCTTCTCTCTTCTGCACTTTTGTCTATATTTCTGCTCGCCTTAACGCCGCTCTGTCGTGTCATTTTTTTGAGCTTTGTGTGTTATTGTGTGTGTGTGTTTGCTGCTTGCCTACGCGGAAGGACCCGATACAGGCCCCACCACCGGTGGACGTTCCACTCCTGCTGTCGTCCAGCATTAACAGGAAGTCAACACCTGATTGGAGCTCGACAGGACAGTTAAACTAGAACGAACATACACACCCGAAGCACTACGAGCTACAGTAACTGAGTATACTGCGTATTAGTACGACAGTGTTACTGAATAATGTGATTCAGCTGATGATATTTAATAAGACTGTTAATGATATTCTGAATATTACAGTGTTTTAATATTTAAAATAACTGCGTATTAGTAACTGGTTAATATTCCAATGCAGTATAAAGAAATGAACTGATTTGAGTTTCACTGCTCAGATTGGAAATAAGATTTCTGAACAAAAGTTGGGATTCAAGCTGTAGAATATCTCAAAAATGAATGTCGTCAACACAATATCTAATTCTCTGTATAATATTATATACATACCGTCACATTTTTAGCTATAAAATGGTCATTAAACTGAAGCTGAAACAGACTCACAGCTCTATATAATTCACTGTATCGTATTAATGTCTTTCAGAGGCTGCAGCAAGCTCCGTTTTAAAGCTGCAGTGAACATATGTTCTCATGTGAAACTATCTAACCTAACCTAACGCATCCATCCGTACCAACCATGTCATGCTAGCATGTTGGGTTGGCAAAGGACAAACTTGACCGACCTCTGACCTCAAGATATCTGAATGGAAATGGGAAGACTCCACTTTATGCTAATTTCATGCAGTTTTTTGCAATGTGGTATAAATGTGTTATTTTAGTCTATTTGAACATTTCTGCATATTAGAGTCCATCAACACTCCACTCTGCTCCCAGAACAGACAGATACATAAATGAATGTCACCCATTTGTGTTTATGGATCTGAATTACTGAAATTGAAATTGATTAAAATGATGATTGAATTGATTTATTCTGGATGTTTATTGGTTTATCTTCAAATAAACTTCAGTTGCTGTTTTTTTTGAAAATGACAAGTCTCTTTTTTTTGTCTTCCATGACACAAAGAATATGAATTATTGTAAATAAAAGTCAGAAATAACATGAATATAGACAGTGCTGGGCAGTAAGGCATCCCCAGTAACCAGTAGTGTAACTAATTACTAATACATTTCAGTAATAATTCAGTTACCCTCCCAAATATAACTAGTTACAGCTTTACTGGAAATACTCCATTACTCTGATTTTAACAAACTAAACTGGATTTTAATCGTCGTAAATCTGAAGTTTGAACATAACCAGTAATATAACTAATTACTGTTGGCAGGTTAGTAATTAGTAAAGTAATAAAACTTTTGAACAATACAAAACAAATGTGTCAGAATAAAGAATAAATCTCTGGAACAGCCGTTTAAACTGCAGCGACCACATTACGTCACCATCATCATTACATTTATTTACTGTCCTCATCTTTTTGTTTGTAGTATTTGTACCACATTATATTCTGCACGTCTTCGTTTTCTGTTCTGTTTGATTGTTTAAGTTTAATAATAAAGAGTAAAATAACTTCCCAACACTTCCACTGATCAACAGCAGAGGGTGCTGGTTGCATGTTTGATAAGAAAAATAATCCTGTTTAAATTTCACCACATCATAAAATATGTTCATTTTCTCTCTTTGATAAAATGTGACTGAAGAAGTTTTTCATTGTGCTTCTGAGCAAAACATCTCAGTTCAAATGTGTGTGAACTTCCAACACCTGGACCTCGGGGAGCCGTTATTGATTGATCCATCTGAAAAGTAATTAAAGTATAAAGTTAAATGACATTTCAATATTCACATATCACAGTGAAACATCTGCATTTGTTACCTTTCTCATTTATTCGTGTTTTTCCTTTGATTTGTCACCAGTCTGTAAACCTGTGGCTTGTTTTGATGAGGATGGAGTCACATGACTGCAGGAGGAAGAGGAGGAGGAAGATAAGGAGGTGGAGGAAGAAGAGGAGGAGGAGGGGAAAAAAGGAGAAAACACAAGAGGACGGACGAGGATTTGTGAAGGTACAAAAAAAAGAAATGAAACGGGGTCTTTGTCA